GCCGACGGTCATGGAGAAGATGATGCCGGGGAGACCCATAGGGAGGAAGTAGAGGGCGGTTTTGCCCGGGGAGAGGAGGTTGATTTCTTGTGCTATGAGGACGATGTAGTAGAGGACTGTTTGGTAGCCGCCGTAGCATACTTGGGGGGTTGTGTTAGTATGGTATGGTATAGTGTAGTATGTAAGTTAAGGGACATGTTAAAGGAAGAAAGAAAGAAAGTAAGAAACACAAGCCGATAAAATAAAAAAGCAAATAACATACCAAACCCCGAAATCCACAGCGCAGCAAAATTCTGGATTTTCCACAGCGAAAGCGGCATGATGGGATGCGAAGCCCTCTTCTCCACATAGACAAAAATCCCCAAAACCAGCACCGAAAGAATCAACAAGACGATAATAAAAGCCTTGCTCCACCCATACACGCCTCCACTCGACAGCACAAACGACAGCAAAATCAACCCACCGGTCGACAACCCGGCACCCAACAAATCCAAACTCGGTTTCTCATTCCCGTCCAACCGATCGCGCGGTAAGATGAACTGTCCCAAGACCCCTAACGCCCCCGTCAACGCAGCAGAAACATAAAAGAGATATCTCCAGCCCAGACTCCCCGTCAAGAACCCCCCAAAAATAAGCCCCGCGCAGAAACCCACTGCGCCAGACGCCGCAAAGAACGACAACGCAATCGTGCGATCCTTCGCCACAAAATACGAAGAAATGATTCCCACCGCCGACGGCACCGTCATCGCTGCGCCAATACCCTGCAGGGCGCGAAAAATAGCTAATTGGATAAACGACGTCGCGAATCCATTTGCGATGGTCCAGATGGATATCCATAGCATCCCGATGCAGAAAATAAGTTTGCGTCCAAATCTATCGCTTAATACGCCGGCTAGGAGGAGAAATCCTCCAAAGGTTAATGTGTATGCGCTTATTAACCATTGGAGATCACTAGCTTTCGCACCGAATTCTTTTTGGATGGCTGGTAGACTGATATTGACACCGGTCATGAAGACATTGTCCATGAGTTGTGCTCCGCATGTGGTTAGGAGGATGAGCGCGCCGCGGAAACTCTTGACACTGCCGATATCTGGGTATGAAGTTTCGGGCAAATCTCTCGAGGGTTCTTCGACCTGTAGCTCGAAATAATCGCGCGGAGGGCCATTTCCACCGGCGGTTGTATTTGAATGTCCTTTTCGATGTGAGTGCGGACCCGGTGTGTTAGCAGCCGAGGAGGGGGATGGAGGACGTGTTGAGTAGGGCGTGTTGAATTCGCTAGGTAATTCTCTGATCGTACTAATTGGACCTGGCTTCGCTGCCTTGGGGAATGTTATCGTTGTAATTCCATTATCCTTTTCCTTCCCACTGTCATTCTCCTTGGAAGAGTCCGCATGCGATTCAAGAAAAGCATCTTGATGCCCACTAATAACACTAGCCGTTCTCGTCAAACTCTCGAGATCCTCCGCACGTATACTATCGCGAAAAGTCAATCGTCCAGAAACATTTGAGCGTCGTCGAGGTTGTGTATTTCCTGCTCCCAAGCCGGTACCATGCGAATCGTCATATTGTGAATTTCGTCGTTCAGGAATAGGAAGGATATGCTGTTGAGTGGTGGATGTTTCAGCAATTGAAGCTGGTGTTGCAACTATTAGCTTAAAATTTCTTGCACAGAGATTTCCAGATTGGCGAGGATGAAGGAGTAAAACTTACAAGACATAGTTCAAATACTAGCAAAACTTTATTTGATATTAGAAAAAACCAACGGGGAAAAAAGAAATATTATAACGAATATCTAGCACTTAAAGATGTTCATACTCCGTAGTTGGGCAGCATCTCATACATTTCATACACCAACCCACAACCCCATATTTTTGAAAAATTTAATCACCATCCATCATCGATAAGCCTGAAAATCAATCACATCTTATCGCCACGACCTGGACCCTGAAGGGTCTTTTTTTTCTTCCAAATTAGCACTTTTTAGGAAGGTTTTCCGACGTTTATCCATGTTCCTGAGCTAGGTATCCGCAAGCCAGCGAGTCAAGACATGTGCTAAGGATCCACATGGAGCCAACACTTGAATCATCGTGGAGATTTGTTTACCGCACGAGCTCATGATCATTTGGAGACTTCTCTTTGAAGTGTGCATTGCATATGATAAGAATCAAAACTAGTTATTTCATACCCCATATCGTTTAGAAAGGGAATTGTATGATGAAATGGGAAAAGATATCCCACCCAATACATCGGCCTGGGTAGCTTACCGGCCCTAAACTATTTACCACCGGCTCGGGTCGAGTAAGACTGCGCTTGCAGCCTTATGGTAAACATGGTAAATACTTTTTTAAGTGCAGTCGTCTGAAGGCACCAGAAGACCCAGTTTAATTCGATGTAATCCACAATTTCATTTACCCATCAATGTTATATATATTTTCACAAACAGAAATGAGACGAAAGGGTCCAAGTTTCCATAGTCGTTCCAATTTCAGCAGCATAACATTAATCTGAATTACACCTCCAAACCACCACAGTAGGTTCCATCCAACTCATCATACTGCAATGACATCCAACTCCTTGCGCCATCATATAATTCCAGAAACAAGTACTCCATTTTATACAATACTTTCACACGTACTGGGAGGGAATATAACGCCAAATCAAATGCCAACTATATGCAAACGCCCCAACATTGGCGCATCCATTTTCCATCTACTATTATCCCTTTGAATCCATAACTCCTTCGTCTTTCGATTCCATGACCCAGATTGTGGTAAGTATCGGAGAAAATCATATGATATAAAAAGAAAACGCAACGAAGATATAAAACCGCTTGGCAAATATAATAAAATGAAAACGAGAGGTAGAAAAATGATACCCGATAAATCAGCGAAACATTGGCATCTTCGTAGTTTCAAGGCTATTGTAAAAGTCGCTTGGCGGGATCGATTGTCGCAAGGCAACTGAGTGCATCAGCTGCTAGGAAAGATGGGTAGATTATGAAGCTGGCGCGGAATCTTTCTTGACATCCCGCTCCATCCTCTCATCGTTTTTCTTTTTCTTATCGGCGGCTTTCTGTTCGTCCTGTCTACGTTTGTCTTCAGCTTTTTGTACTTTATTTGCCTTCTTCTCGGCTTCAGTGGATATCTTTTTCTCTGCGGCTCGTTGAGCTGGCGGAGGTTCGGATGCACCATGGGATTGTGTTTTCTGTTCTTCTTTGATTGGTTGTTTGCTTACAGGTGGTGTATCATTTTGTTTGGCGTCCTGTGCGGCCTTTTGCTTCGCTTTCTCTTTAGCTTCCTCGGTAGTCTTCTGTGCCTCTTCCAATTTCTTTGCCTCTTCCAGTTTCTTTGCATCTTCTAGTTTCTTCTTATTTTCTTCGGATTGCTTAGCTGCCTCTTCTGCCTTCTGGGCATCGGTTTTTGGTGGTGGTTGAGCTGCCTTTTCTGGTTCGACTGGTTTCTGAATTTCTTGCTTCACAGGGATCCATTCCATCTTATCATCGTCAAAGTGGTGGCTTAGTATGTAAGTTAGCGAGGAAATTCAAGGTGAATATTGCGATTCCATCCAACATACCCCTCAAAGTCAGTCAAGGTCAGTGATTTCTCATGATATTCTGCTTCCAAGATTTCTTTATATGCAAAAGGGATCTTGGCTGGTGCGCCCTCGAAGAAGGTGTCTCGCAATGGGAAAATGTAGGTATCCTATGATTATTAGCACGATTCATCATTTACCCTGCTCATACGACATTACCCTATATTCATGACCATCCTTGCAGCTCAACATTCCTTCTCCGGCTGGATGTGTGTAATTGTATCTTGCAGTTGTAATATCAATGAACAACCCACTCGTAGTATCGACCCACCGAGCATCAATGACATTCAACTTGTCCGATTGCTCTCTATTAAGATAATGAGGGTTGACCTCTAGCATATAATCTCGGCCCTCTGGAATACGTGGAGTTTTATAATGGAATACTGTCATGTTGTAATAAGAGGCAAGAAAGTGCATTGATTCTTCGGAAACTTGGACGTCGGAATCGGAATCCCATGGTAGAATCTGAAGGACATGAGACTTTGAAAAACCTTGGGCAACTCCAGTATTGTTCTTACCTTACGATTCCACCACCAGCCTAATAAAGTACCATGCATAAGCCATGTTTCCACGCCAATATCAGAGAAAGTAGCGAGGTAGGTTTGAATGAGGTTCGAAAGTGCATGTCTGCGTTCTCTGTATCCCAATTGCTTATCGGCGAATCTGTGAAATAGATGTTAGATTCTATCATTGTGTACCATAATAACTTCTCTTGGAGAAATTTACATACCGGCCGTCGTAATGTGGATGGAAGCTATTAACCTCACACTGTTAGCATGCAATCCCGCAGTACCTTTGAAAGTCTCTTGTTTTCAGCCTTGACGGGCTTGTGGGATACGTACACGCTCTCATCTGTCAGGAACGAGCCATAAGTTAGCAAAGTTCGGCTGAATGAACTACCATGAACAGGACCATTCGGTCAGGCCCGCATCGGCGGTCGCCATGATCAAACAACCCTTCTGAAAGATAGATCTAATGGGTACTCACGAAAATATTTATCGCTTGGATCGCCTGCTTTTCCACTCATATCCTTGAGTAGCTTTGTGCGCACACTGTAAAAGTCGGCATCTCTCTTTTGTATCGCCAGCGCCGACACAACTGACAGAAGTCCAGGCAACGTAATGATCCAAGAAAATCGCATCTTCAAAGGACCACGATATGGTGATGAGTTTACAAGAGGACAATGTCGACAGGGTGTGAATAACCGTCTTGGCGCGGTCTTCTTGACGTAGGTAGATTTGCCAAGCGATGTATGATGTCGTCTTCTCTATTGCGTGTGGAGAGGAAGGATTCGAGATGTTATTTTGTGCAAAGCAAAGAGGTACGAAAGAGAGAGAGAGAGAGAGTACCGATACAAGATGTTAAAAAAAATGTATAAAAAAGAAAAGGTAATTTCAAAACAGAGAATGAAATTATATTCAAGAAAGAAGATGGACGCGGGGGGAAAGCACACGATCAAGTACTCTTTTAGCAAGAAGTAAATGAGTGGAGACAAGATATTTAAAGTTATCAAAAAAATAAAAGTGATCAGCAAAACCCAACAATTGTTAAACATGTAAAATATATTAGGGCGGCGTGAGGCGAGTGAGGATATATGTATATGCATTCATTCGCTGTCTAAAAGAATCAAATTAGGGGAGAAAATGAAAAACAAGGAGAATATTGAATGATTGAGTGACTGAATGATTGGATGATTAGATGATTATTGGATAGTTGGATCAGTCCGAAGAGGTCGTCGCGGGGATTCAAGCATCAGCCCGCAAAGCAAGTAAAAAACAAAAGAGGGTATACGTATATTCAGGATGGAGTCTTGTAACTGGCTGCATAGATAGCTGCAATTATTAGGAGCAAGGGCGTGGAGAGCTGGATAAGTTAGCGCTTCTGTTGGGTTGAATCCAGCGAACAAAGTCTAGAAGCACAGTTCCCAGCCCGGTCGAGCCTCCGGATACACGCCTACGCACATTCTAGAGTGAGTTCTGGCGTTTCCTACTAGTCAGGTACAGCAACCGATTGGATGTAATATTTACAAGACTTGAGAACAATCTCATCCAGCGACATACAACCAATTCATTCTGCGTTTTTGCGTTTAGAATACTCAATTCTTATTGTCACCAAAACCATCACATTTCTGCATTCTTATTTTCATCGCAATCCCATAAGTCATAAATTCGGTTGAGCCAGGGGTGCTTTTGTTGTCAATATTTCGCAATAATACCAAACGAAAAACCCTTGGAAAAGCTCAGTCATTTTCATGCGTAAGCAGTATGCAGAGTACGCACATAGATTACGACGCTTTGGACCTAACCTTAATTGTTCGCTGTTTTTGAATTTCCCAAAGGTTTCAGAATTATATACCAGAATACGCACGAAACTCATCATTTTTTTCATTGAAACGCCAAGTAAGGCAATTTGCCTATGTTCTTGGGTGTAGCCAAATTGAATGCAAGGCATGAAGGCCGAGAAAAAATAAAGAATGTTAATCACTACCAGAAGGGGTTCATAACTGGGGAAAGGTTTAGTACATGCATCCGATGTATCCGTATCCGTTGAATCAGCAAGGTTTGCGCGGTGGTTAGCCGCCGTCTCAAGTTATTTGGCAGTTGAAACTTCTTGAGATGACGTTGTCATGCGGATGGGGTGATGACAGCAAGCTTTGGTCGATGAGTACGTAGTAGTAGTACGTATTATCTAGCACCTATTACCTAGTACCTAGCAGGTAATTTATCTCTTGAGAAAGTGTGTTAGTACTAACGAATAGATATAAATATGTGCCATCCGCCTCTAAAAGTTATTTTCATCTCCCCCTCATCTCCTTTATGCCAACAGGTGGTGGAGGTGGTTGGGGGAATGGTAAATTCATCCTCGAAAAGACCACCAATAATCCAAATTCCCCCTTTCAATGACCAGCAAGTCATTCAAACAATCCCTTGATAAGGAAGGACGCGTCAGCTATGAGGGAAAAACAAGCCAAGTGACAGATACCATGTTAAGCTTTTAGACGAATCTTGGCAAAGCTTAACGACGCCTTCTTTACCAAATGCTTGCCTCTTGCGAGGGATCACGACATACTAGGAAAGATCTCACAGAGTACTTATCTGAGTTCTCCGATATATTTGTACAAAGTATCACGACAAAGATAAAGCGCTACCATGCAACGGCTTCGCTTTTTACTCTTGCCACATACCCATATCTACAGATCACTAATGAATGGTCAGACAACATCGCAAAACAATGCATCTCACCAATCACAATCAAGTCAATGCTGCCAACCATGGATAGGAGCTGTCCGAGGACGGCGGTGGAGAAAGACAGGAAGATACGACCTTAGCTTCGGATTTCAGCTTGGAAAGGCTGCGTCTTTGGGCATGCCTCTATATTTCCATTTAGGGTAAGATTAATAGCACAATGGACCATTTGGAAGACAAATGCGGGATTTTATGGAAAACCCTACCAATGACTCGGACTCCAGAAGACGATGTGGCTTGAGAATCCATTCTAGTGCATCCTGAATGGAGTTGGACGGAGAGGGGGCTAGCAATAATCACCGCTTGAAAACTAAACTTGATGCAATCACTATCATAAGATAACAACTGAACGATACATTTAATTATCGCGTGAGAAGATAAACAGGTGGGGTTTCCTTCCGGTCTTTCTCCTGCACGTTTGAAGGGAGATATGATGAAGTATGATATATATGCACTAATACATACTAACACACAAGGCGTAAAAGCTTAAATCCAAAAAGAAACCCCTTGATTGGTTAGTATTTATGACCACCTCGATGTTCAGATCCGGTTGCACGGATAGATTGACCTTCGTGTGGATTTCTTTCAATTTTAGTGTCAATCATGAGTGGACATTACAAAGTGTCGTTACACCTATAGCTAGCAATGTTCACTCGTTGTTGTGCGATGTATTCGTCCATCGCATGAGTGCATCAGTTCACTCCATGCAACACTTGTGTACGACTTCATTCGTTCGATGTTCCATTGAATATGGAAGGGATACCAAGCCAACGCGGCCAAATCCACGGTAAACTCGGATTATCCGGGCTGAGAACTTCCCCCGTGTTGTTGCAAGAATGCTATCAAGCATTCTTGATACACCAAATTCTTGCGACAGATCTCCGAGGAAACTGAGCTTGATTTCGTACCGTTTTGGAGTAATTTGTACAGACATTTTGTTCTTTATATCATTTTCGTATGCATATCATGTATATTTGTTTACAGTACTCACCTTGAATTTTCCAGAATAGTTTCACGATACTTCACATATAGCTCTTCTTATTGTTTAACTTCCATTTTCCTATCGATCGCTGTTACGACTGATATATCCTGGATTATCTCTATGTTTATCCACTGTCAGACAAATCTATGTTCTGAAATTTGTGTTTCATTCCATACTCACAAGTTGGGCCTCATACCTCATAACGGTGCCGGTCGAGCGATTGTCTGCTCATTGCCATGAAAAGCATAACGATATCTTATTGCATTTTACAAACGTCGAGTGTCTTTCAAGCCTCTTTCTCCCAAAAAAATCGTCCAGAAAAAATCAGAAGCTTTTGACAAGGTTCAATGTCTCCTGAAGATAGGAGCTATTGTCTGACGTAGCCTGATATCCTTACATTGTATCGCATCGTTCCAAAAAATCAGATTGTTCTTGGATAGTTAAAATCTGAAAGGCGGTTATGACGGATAAAAAACTTTTCAATCATTCATTCATTGCCCTTCGAACCAAGTGGCCACGAAATGGCTAGTGTGCGTACATTTTACATCGCAGCATTCAGCATTCCTTTAAAAATTGGTGACTTGGCGATCTTTCTTACTTGTATTTATATATTTACATACTACATGTCACCATACATCTCGATGTTCCTACCGAGGTCGTCGCTCATCCATTCGCGTCCTGATGCGAATCCTGATGCGAATCCTGATGCGAGTACGCTATACGGAGTAACCGTGCTCCTGTCCATGCCACTTTCTGTCACGTCGGATATTTCGGATATTTCCGGGGTAGCCCCTGTCTTACGTCTTTTGTAGATTGTCATTGGATGAACAACGGTAGCAAACCGTGAATATGTACTTCGTGTTATCAGTCCCAGACACGAGTGCTGGGCAAAGCTGCGTTTTCTTGCCTCTAGCCAATAATGACAGTTTTTTTTTTGAAGGAATTCATGTATTCGCAACCCGTACAGTATGTAGGTTTGGATGAATGTTCAGTGGTTTTCTCGTGGGAAATTTAGTTATACAAAAATAGAAGTACCACTTCTTTCAGCAGCTTGCGATGCGACCAAAAGTACCCATGCATGCTAATATTGAATCATCTATTTAAGATCAAGTTCCCTCTGGAAATCCTCATGTTTATCGACAACCAGATTCTAAGTGAGAGTTTAACGAAAATTCAATGGGGCCTACCATATCAATGCAAGGTCAAACTATAGCTGGGATAATTTCTCAGTTGTCATTATGCGCTGGAGCAATAGTAGGCTTGAATGAATCATTGATCTGTATCGATAGCTAACATCCGGTCAGGCCATCCTTTATATCACATACAAAGTGATATATAATCTCTATTTCCATCCACTTGCACATTTTCCCGGCCCAAGGTTAGCAGCAATAACAGATGGCTGGCTATGTTGGCATAAGTAAGCTTCACTGCCTCTATTATGCTACATCATAGACTAACGAAAGTAAAGTACTTCTGGAAATTATCACAAGACTATGGTCAGCTTACACAAGAAATATGGTAAAGTTGTGAGATTTGCACCAAACGATTTGTTCGTTCACTAGATCAACCTTGCGATTGACACTTAACTAATTCAAACAGAGACTTCGCATCTCCTCAAGCATATCAAGACATTTACAGCCATTCAAAGCAAGGGAAAAATGCATTTCTCAAAGGACGAGCCTACAATACAGGTTCAGAAGCCAATGCAGGTATTGTTTCGGCAAGAGATCCAGCTGTCCATCGAGAAATTAGAAAGTGTCTTTCTCATGCTTTTAGTGCAAAAGCTCTTCGACTTCAGGAAGAAGTGGTGATGCAATACATGGACTTGCTAGTTTCTCAAATTCATCAACGTAAAGATGACGAGAAGGGATTAGATTTATCGGCAGTATGTGTATCACTATGCTTTTGCCTGTAATTATAATTAATCAAGTATAGTGGTATAACTGGTTAACTTTCGACATCATTGGCGATCTCGCATTTGGAGAATCATTTGATGCAGTCAAATCTGGAGAAGGCCATCCATGGATCAGTACCATTCTCAGCGCCGTTCATTTCATGTCCCTCATGGAAATCTTTCGGCGCTTTCCATTCTTAACGAACCCAATCTTCAAGACAATCGCAACGTTTTTCATGCCCAAAGGCTTGAAAGAAAAGAGCAAGACTCATTTCGAAAATTCAATGAAAAAAGCAATTCAACGCATGGAACGAGGAAACAACGATCGCGATGACTTCTTCTCGCATCTACTTCGCGAGAAAGAGAATGGACCAAAAATCACCCCAGAATTTATTCTAGCCCAATCTAATACGCTTATTGTGGCCGGTTCGGAAACTACCGCTACTTTGCTCATAGGAGTAACTTACTATCTTCTTAATCGACCCGAAACACTACGAAATCTCCAAGAAGAAATTCGCAACACGTTCACATCTTCGAAGGATATCACAAGTGATTCTACATCAGCACTTCCATACCTCGCCGCCGTAATTGAAGAAGGTCTCCGCATCTATCCACCCGTCCCCATGGGACTTCCGCGCGACTGCCCGGGGGCTATCATAGACGGAGAGTACGTTCCTAAAGGTGCCGTGGTCTACGTATCCGGATACGTCGCTACCCACAACGAAGAATATTTCACCGATGCAAATGAATTTCATCCCGAGAGATGGCTCCCAGTCTCTCATCCCCTCTATAATCCCCGCTATCAAAATGATAATAAAGATGCGAGTAAACCTTTCTCACTAGGTCCTAGAGCATGTCTGGGCATTAATCTGGCGTACATGGAGATGCGAGTCGTGTTGGCGAAATTGGCGTGGGAATTTGATTGGGAGTTGAAGAGTAAGGAGCTGGTTTGGGAAAGGGATTCTAAGTTGCTTACGCTGTGGAAGAAACCGGAGGTGAGGGTTGAGTTTAAAGCCGTGGATAGATGAGATTTTGGTGGGTTTAGTGGATTGAGGATTTGTTTTTGGAATTATTTAGAGGCGTTTTTTTTGTGGCTTTGTTTTTTTGTTCTTTTCCTTTTCTTTTCTTTCTTTGGGTCGAATGTTTCTTGTGTAATACATGGTAATACACGGAACGTATTAGGGTATTTACAGGAGAGTGGTACGAGGCCAATTACATATTTTTCCTGCAATGTTCCGTCCCTTTTGACTCTCTAGTCTGTAGATGAGACAATAATCGGTAGGTAGCCGTCTTTGAATGCTGTGGACTAGATATATATATTTATGTATGTATGCGAGAACCTAGCACGGGAAGTATCGGAATATATTGATCGTGCTTTGAGCTATACCTAGTAAGTAAGGTAGATTGCGGTAGGGGAATTGGTAAGTTATTAGTTGGGGGGAAATTGGGTGGAGTGATGGGTTTGGGTTTATATGGGGTAACGGGGGGTTGGATGAAGGATGTGGGATGTAGGATGTAGGATGTAGGATATAGGATGGGAATTTTATTTATGATTTATGGGTATATATATACTGGGTAGGTAGGTAGACTTCTTTGGTGCATTGGTTGATTGATCGATTGATTTTTTTAGTTGGGATATCTATTATATCTATTATAGTATATTGTTGGAGTGTGAGTGCGAGTGCGAGTGTATAATTGAAGAGCCTCTATTGTAATTAGTAGATTTTATGTTTTTATATGCGGGGTCTAGATGTTGGGTACTTGTATCTTAAGAATTCTGGTGATGAGAAGAGGAAGGAGGGTTTTATTAGATAGGTGCTAGTGAACTGAATATGGATGAGGGTTTATATAATCTGTATTCTATGGAGTATGTATTGAATTGGATGAATGGATGGATGGGTAGATGGATGAATGAATGAATGATCTGATCTATTGTTATTGGGGTATTGTCTTGATAGATAACTAGATTTAGGGTTTGATACTTGAGTATGTAATCTTATATAGAAATAGAGTGGTTTATATGCGATTTGAAAATACCCTGATGAGGGAATTCTACTGATGTATATAGGTCTAGGTGAAGATGTCTGTGAGTTTCAAGTGCTACAAGTATGCAAGAGCTGGTGTAAATGGACATCACTGATCACTGATCACAACATGAGAGTACAATCGATGATGAGGAGAGCAAAGATTTTCTGGGAAATATCTACAATTTTCTCGCGATAATAACTATGGAGTACTTCCACCCCAAATAAAATCTCGAAGGTTATCCCCGCAACTTTTCGGATGAAAGGGTCCTGAGTGATCCTTGCAAGACTATGTACGGAGTAAGATCTTACTATGGATAAGGAATTGCCCCATGCAAACCATGATAAAAATTTCTGAGAAAGCCATCAATAATAATATTTAGAGATGGATGGTCCACCTTTCAAAAGAGTCATGCAGATGAGACCCTGCAGTCTTTTCAGTCTTATCGCCGCTCAATTATTTAGATTCTTCTCGCACAGATTCTCATTTTTATAGATACTTGATATCAATTGTACTCATTGGGTCTCACTATCTTATCTTTTAATGTTTTAATATGAAGTGTACGAGTTTGGGTTACACGATATACATATAGAAAGATAGGTAGGTCAAGATTTTATTGTTATTTGTCTGATACGGACACAATTGGATGGATGTGGTAGATGGAATTCTAAATGAGGGTGCTACGAGATTTGTGTATATAGGTATTGAATGGATCTAGTGTTCCTATGCAAATCTCTCTTGATTTCTACTCTGTATTTTCGATTGAGTTCTCTGTTTATTCTATATCTATGCTACAATTTCTGCAGAAGCAATTGAAGAAGATATAATCGCTAATAAACAATCCAATCAACAGAATGTCTCCGAACGAGCAGATGGATCCCTCAAACTCCGCAGACGATGTAGAGAAAGGCATCTCCTCCGACATCCCTCACGATGCGCTCGCCGCCTCCTCTTCCAAAACACCCGCGCGCGACGTCACAATCCCCATACTCTCTACACCTCAAAACCGATTCTTCACCTTCACCGCACGAATTGAAAACCTCTTCGGTCTCGAAGCTCGAGGTATTCATCGCGTGCTGCCCGCCGAACAAACTACCAAAACTACTCTGTCATTTCTACAAATCGTCGTGCTTTGGTTTTCTATAAATACTGCGCCGCAGAATATTACGTTGGCGAGTCTGGGCACGGGGGTTTATGGGTTGGGTTTTGTGGATGCGACGCTTTGTAGTGTTTTTGGGGCTGTGGTGGGAGCTTTGCCCGTGGCGTATACGGCGGGTTGGGGACCGTGGAGTGGGAATAGAACTTTGGTAGGTAATATTTTCTTGGTTATGGTTATGGTTATGTTATATAGGTGGTATGGTTTTGCAGTTCTTGCATTTCGTCATTGGAATTTGATACAAGTCAACCCCTGAGATGAAAATTAGCTAACCGAGTCTAGATATGCGCTCGATTTACTATGGGATGGTGGCCGGTGAAAATTTGTGTGATATTGAACTTGGTTATCTTATTAGGATATTCCATGATTGATGCGGTAGTAGCTGGACAGATGTTATCTGCAGTCTCACCAAATGGCAGTCTATCTGTGGAAGTTGGAATTGTCGTTTCAGCCGTCTTAACATTTACGGTAACAACATTCGGCATCAAAATATTTCATCATTATGAGAGATTCGCCTGGATTCCACAAACATTTGTTCTTCTGATCTTAGCCGGAACGGCTGGTCCAAAATTCGATATCCATAGTAAATCCACAGTCGAAGGCTCAACACTCGCTGGAAATCGTCTTTCATTCTTCTCGATCTGTCTCAGTGCTGCAATTACATACGCTCCTATAGCAGCCGATTTCTTCGTCTATTGTGACCCAAAAATTGCATCGCGTTGGAAATTTTTCGCAGCAACCCTACTTGGTCTTTCCCTCTCCTTTACATTCACTTTTGTCATAGGAGCCGGTCTTGCATCTGGTATCACTAATAACCCATCTTGGGAAGCGGCAGGAGCAGGTTCAGGTGCTCTTATTGTAGCTGGTTTCGAAAGTCTAGGTGGTTTCGGACAATTTTGCTCGGTTATTGCCGCTTTGGGCTTGATTGCCAATATGGTTCCTCCTACCTATTCTTGCGGTATCGATTTTCAGGTCCTAGGTCGTTATCCGGCTATGGTTCCAAGATTCTTATGGAATACGTTCGGTGTTGTCGTATTCACCGTTTGTGCACTCGCAGGTCGTAATGATCTTTCTGAAATCTTCACCAATTTCTTATCTTTGATGGGATACTGGGTCGTTCTTTGGATCGTTATTACATTGGAAGAAGAATTCATCTTTAGACGTCATAAAAATCCCACGTTTGTGTGGAGTGATTGGGATAAACAGGAAAAATTACCGCTAGGGATTGCGGCGTTTGTGGCGTTTTGTGTAGGTTGGGTGGGAGCGATTTTGTGTATGAGTCAGTATTATTTTATAGGACCGCTTGCGAAGATGGTGGGGAGTGAGGGAGGTGATATGGGGAATTATGTGGGATTTGCGTGGGCGGGTTTGGTGTATCCTGGGCTTAGGTGGTGGGAATTGAGGAGGTTTGGGAGGTAGGGTTGGAGAGAGGAGAGAGGAGAGAGAGAAAGGGTTGGAGAGAGGAGAGAGAGAAGAGAAGAGGGGACGGGAGGAGAGGACAATTAGAGGAGGAAAGAAAGGAAGACAAAAAGAGGAAGAGGATTAAATGGATGGTTTTGGGTATTTTATGAAAATTACGATATATGGAAAATTATTGATATTATGGGAAAAGGGTTACTATATCATGGGTTTAAAAGTTATAGATACATATATACATAGCAATCAGTATATCAGGTATAATACTAGGTGGATATATATATCCAAGAGACATAGTCACAGCATATAAAGAATAAATCTCTCCAGTATACAAATAAAATTACAATGCTAGAATATTATATCTTTGTCACAATATAAAGAGAGAAATCTCAGGAAACAAGAATTACTTTGGATAGGAATTGTGATACTCTAATCTGATTTGGTCTGATTTGATTTGGTCTTTGGATTTAGGAACTGTTTGCGACTTGTGGTGGAATTTTGTGATTTGGGATTGGGGATTGGGGATTCGTGGTGGAATTTTGAAGTTGGGATGGAGCGGATGGGATGGTTGTTTGAGGGTGATGATTATAGATATCAGTGGAGTTGTGGTTATACTGTTATAATGTGATATGGTGTGGTATGGTGTGGTATGGTGTGGGTTGGTTTGATGGATTGGTGTTTGGAGATTGTGTGGGTGGGAGATGTGGAAGATGTGGAAGGTATGAAAGATGTTTGTTTGTGGGTAGATGGCGGCGTACCTCAATAAATATATCTTAACAAATGAACTTAATATAAAAGTATCATCCCATCATTATTTTGACATCTACAAAAAGCTCGAGCGCATGTCCAAACGGAGAGATATAACGAGCGGGCTAGCAGCGGGATGATTTAAACACAATAGCGCCAGTATGTATTCAGCTAGCCAGCATAATTATTAGCATATGTGCACCGATAAATAACAGTAGAATGAGTAAATAAGTAACTATTGATTTCTTTCCTCAGATAGAGACAATATAGAAGATACGAGAAATAGCGGTGGAAAAAACGAAGATGCAATATTTGACTTGATAGATACGAGATTTGATATGTCTGGAATTATATAAAAGCCCGGCCTAGATGATTCGATGGTGATCTTTGGTTGTAGTGTCTTACCTTACGGTTGGTTATATTTGGTATATGGATATGTACTCTAAATAAACTAATAATGTAGCTGGGATAGAAATGAAGTGGTTTATGGGATGGGTGGATACTTTGTTTATTTTGGAGTTAGAGTTTTCCTTATATTTCTATAGAGTATTGTAGAGGTTTAGTTTGTGAGTGCTTATTTAGTGGAAGATAGTAAATTTTTATTTTTCCTGTTGATGTACTGTCAAAATTTCGAGAAATGCTTATTTCATATACTTGCATACCTAGTAATCCATGACAACCTTCTCGAAGTAATAGATAGCAACCATCACTTGAGTCGGGTATCATTTACTCCCGTCTATAAAACCAAACCCCGTACTTGGCAGATGAAATGAAAATCGTCATGATCACTAATTAACTGAATCCGAATCAATGATTCACCCCTCTCCTTTTCAAAGTTTCAGAATCCCACTGCAAACAGACCTCTCCAGCCACCAATCTATTTATATTCTCCCTCCTGAACCAACCACAAGCTTAATATTTCCATCTGTGGCTTAAAACTCCATCTCAGCCACACAAATAAACATGCACTCATTCGGATAAACTCTCTACTAAGAAAAAACCAGAAACCTTCTTTTCGTATTCCCCATCTATTAAACTCAAAGAAATGCCGAAAACAGTCAGAACTGCAATATCTCACTTTAGCAATTTATCCAATTGGAGAATGCAAGAGATACACGTCACTGTGGAAAATCCTGGGACCCGCGCGAAAAAACACGAGAATTTGACTTAGGAGATCCTTGTCCCCCTTTTTCAAATACCATCTAGCATGGGTTCTTGAACTTTGGGATACGATGCGATGCATGGGAAAGGTAAGGTGACAGGTATAAAGAATGCACTCAATCCCATTCTTGTATCCCTATACCTTCGATTATTTTTCTACAGATCAAATCAGATCTTATCGTTTATCTGGGTGGTAATTATTGACTTGCCTTGCCCATTCAATTGCATACGAATCCTTGTTTTACTGCAGGTTTATCTGTAAAGATTGTTTCATCTTCGTCTGAGTATTGAACTCTTTTTTGGCCAGTGCCGGCGGTTACTTAGTACATGTTTGCGGGGTAGAGTGTCTAGATTGGGAAGGATTTTCTAGAGGAGGTTTTGTACGACTCGATTGCTTTCTCTTTGTTTTGTTGAGGAGGGGAAATCAAGATAAATATAAGAGGTCGTCCGCTTTTGGTACTTCTGTCTTGGTATACCTCAACTTCATTTCAGACCTTATACCTGGATTTCGTTCATTGTTCGATTGCGTCGGAGGTTTGATAGCTTGTGGGCATATCAGACAATCTACTTCAAAAGCTATATCTTTTTTATAATCCTTTGAGTTCATACTCAATCATCAACTCAGCTGCACATATACATACTCGACTCCAAATTACAAAATGCATCCTTCATCAAGCATCCTCTTCGTCTCGGCCGTTATTTTCGGTACCATTTCACTCGTTACAGCTACACCAATGCCTTGCAACGACGTATGTTCCCTTTCTACCCTCATCTATCTATGATCGCTATACATTATCAGATATCAGAATCCTAACATAGAAACTAGGCAACAAGAGATCTCGTCCTCAGAGGAACTTTAGATCCAAGCGCTTGTTGTAGCTATGGTGTGTGTATCAGGGATGTAAACGTCCAAGGTGGTTAAGGAAATTTTTCATCATACACTTGAATGAGAAGAGATGGATAGGGGGGTACTGGTATCGATGATGCAGAAGATTGCGAGGGGACAGCTCGACCTGGATTTGAGGATTTGATATTGAGTCGGCGTTTACAACCACACCACAATCTATGAGATTGAGATCGGTTTTTGTGGAGTTTTCATGACCATAATCGTACTGGTTGCAAGTCTCCACAAGAAATACTACATAAGGACAAAGCGAAAAAAAGGAGTTTTTGGATACGAATATAGTGCAAGGCTGCACGACAAACGCAATATTGAGAATAGTATAGTTGCGGTATGATTTTATGAATATATGGATTGGTGGGATGGATGAATGGATTTCCTGGTTGGATTGAGCGTGGGATGTAGATATATATGCACTACCTACATATAAGAAGTTCTTACTTGCAAATCGGGAGCTAAAGTTATCGTCTTTCTTATTATATTATTGATCTTGTTGCTTTTTGATACGACTACTTCGTCATTGTCATAATCTTTCCTGTAGTTTGGAAATGATACACGGTAATGATGTACAATTATTTCCTTTTTAATTGGATATCTGTATTATTGAAAATACAATAGGACATGCATGGGAAAGAAGAAACCTTATATTGTTTCCCTGGAGAGTAGGATTTACTCTGTGGCTGCTCATGAAGAGCAAGCAAGACCTTTTTTGTAACTTTTGAAAAAGCTGAAGAAGGAATGACAGACATAAAGTAGATAGATGAAGGGACTAGATATATAGAATAGTCCACAAGCACATCATATTCCACATGAGAAATGGACAAGATGATCAATCCTACACTGCTCTCATCACATTCTCAATACTCTACACAAGATTTCCTCTCGAAATCTCTCTAAACTCACTTCTTCCCCCCTCAAACTCAAATCTTCGCATCTCCTCTCAAAACATCCCTCAAAAATGCCAATGCTTCTCTAGCGAATACAATCATGTTTCCCTCCCTATCACCTCCTAACCCTGTGTTTAAATCTTTCTTATATGTTCCCTTTTCTGTTGCTATAGCTAATGCTACGTATCCCCTTTTCATTGCACCATGTATTAGTCTTTCTCTTTGTCTTTCAGATTTTTACACTTTTCCAACTCTCATCGCAGAATAGAGCGGTTAGAAGTGAAGGACAGAGAGGAAGGGGCAAAAATGCACAATCAGAGAAGAACAAGGAAAAAAATAAAATACATACGGTTGTTTATTAGGTCCCTCCCCACTAGGATTAGGTCCCGCAGTCCCGCTCTCACAAATACAATACGTACTCCCCAATTTCGGCCTCACATCCTCCGCAATACCAGCCACGACATCCGGTGTAGGACCCGTGTAAGCCTTTATAGTTTCTTGGGTCCAACCAGCTTGTATATGTTAGTATGTATCGAATTCTGGAGAGAAAGAAAGAAAGGTAGGTAGGTAGATGAAAATAGAAGAGAAAGAATGGTAGAGAATGAAATGGTAAACTTACTAAATGCTGTTCGAGCTTCTAATGTGTAAACCGTAAGACCGCCTTTGTATATTTTGCTTGCGCCTGGTGTGCTGAGGATAGAGGCTGATATGATTCCTCCTGCTGCCTGTTTTGGTGTTAGATTTGTTCGCTCTTCTATTTGTTCTCTCTCTGTTGCCATGGAGTGAATCTATCGGAAGCACCGGAATTGCCCCTGCCTTTCGTGGCTTTTACTTTTACATCTTTCATTTCTTCCCATCTTGCTTCTAAGCCAAATCAACTAGATCACACAACTTCCAACAGGGAGATAAACCGCAAAGTAAAAATTCCACCTGCATCAATAAACTCTTTTCCACCTCTCTTGCTTCCCGCCTCCCGCCTCCCACGTCTCATTCCTACTACTCCCATTCCCACCCCCAAACACAAACACAACTACACTTCCAGCACCCAAACCACCCAAACCACCCAAACCACCCAAACATCAAAAACAAAAGCCATCACATCACAAACAAAAACAAAGCGAAAAACATACAGTTTCAGCCACACTAACAGTCTCCCCCCTCTCCTTCAACAAACCCACAACTTCACTTAGCACCTCCCTAACCTTTTGCGGCGGGAAATCATTTGCTTCAGACATTGTTTGTAAAAGATTTTCTAGATCGATCGATATAATGAGGTTTGAAGAAGAGATGATTGATTGTAGAAAGATTAAGAAGGAAAGGGAATTCTTTGTGGAAGGAATTGTGTTTTCATTTATGATTATTGATCATGTTGATGTATGTTAATAGTTTTATGGATCTTGTATTTCAAAGCATGATGATTGCGGGGTAAGATTTCCTAGTGGCGGCCCACTGCATGTGAAGTATGCACTCACAGATTTTTGGGTCATATAAATAGCCTTTCACATCAAATGATTGGAGGAAGCGTTTGTTTGATAAATAAATTTCTTGTTCATTATAAAATCTAAAAGATGACAGGTTCTAAATTATTTTTGTGATTTACAGATATGCACAGTAACATGCTTGACCAATCATGAAAATCAATTGTGATAATTCATGTTGGAAGCCATTGAGTACGAGCCAGATGAGGGGAAATGACTCAAAAGCCAACATCATCCTGACTCTTGAGCATGAGCCCACATAATCTCTACAGCCATTTCGCTGAGGGCAACTGATTCTTCTTGAGATTCAACGAATGTGGTTGTCAAACAACTTACGTGAAAAGATGAATCGACCTACTGAACATCGACTTCGACCTTTTGGGAGAGAGCCTAGATTTGAGTCATTGTATGATGAATACCATCGAGCCTCCGATTGTTACTTCACATACGCCCCAGAGCCACTAAGAGCTGCCATTGAAAGATACGGGCCTGAGTATCGACTAAGCCGGGGTTTTGATAGAAGGACTAAGAACAGAGGTCGGATCCTGGGTCCAGAGGACATAGGACTTATGTTCGACTCAAGTAGCGACTATGAAGAAGCGCCACACAAGAATGCCTTACCTTTTGGAAAAGCAATGAAAAAATTGCGCACTGTAGTCAAGGAGGCTGGAACCGTTTACTCTGGAGTTCTCAAAGAGTATGATGCCGACGTCCAGAATGTCAAAAAGTATACACCAGACAGGATTCTGAGACAATTATGGGCCTTGAAATTGGATAGCGTTTCAAAAATTTCAGAGCAGGCGGGGGATCTAAACCACCATGACAACCATCGTCAAGAAAACAACAGGGTCAAGAAAGTAAACGATTCAGAAGATACACTGTATGAACAGCTCAACCATCAAATCTCACAAGTTGTGGAGGCGCTGAAGCAGGCACGTATGTCAACCGTCGGAGAAAAGGCGAGCGCGAACTTATTCAAAGCATCGGAAAGATTGAAGGAAAAGATCGATACCACGGGTCGGCAGATTCTAGAATTGTTTCAAAGGGCCAGAGACGGAAGTCAAGAAAGTGAAGCTCTTCTGGCCGAATTGAATGGATTGTTCAGTTTGCTGGAGAGTAGCAAAAAATTGTACACAGTTGAGAAAGGGGGAGGAGACGTGGAGAGTTCGTCCTCATCATAGGTCGTCACAATAGGATTACGGAGTGTTCGCGGAGGTTGCATTGGTCGATTTTGAAAGGAGATAGTCGGTCGAAGGTTTCATAGTACCGAAACTGAGTATGAATGAAAGATTCGAATTCATTAGTAGTATCCTAATTCAAAAGGTGAAATGCGATCACTGACCTAAGAAAAAAAAGTTGAAGCGTCGTCCTCAACAGAGTAATCGGAATCGAATTGTACTCAACTTGTCATCACCGAAGTAATGACAAGTCTAGCACGCCACGTATTGCACTTAAGTGTCATGCCTCAGCACACACAATCTTCGCAACGGCTCTCCCATAGGAACAATAGCACACAACTCTTTTCTCTCCTCCTTACGGATTTGATATATAGAGAGTGACCATGCCCTGCTTTTCTGATGCCAATTGCAGACGTGAAATCACGCCGAACCCTCACGGGCAGACCTGTTCATCTTTGTCCAAAGAAAAAGGAACAGGTAATTTTGAAGAGTACTCCGAATTTCTCATATGCAAATAATTGATCGCAAGCGACCTGATACACTTGAGTAAACAAGTATATCTGTTTGTAGCATAGAAACGCAGCGTTGATGAGGACGACGCTTGAAGAGAAAAGAGAAAGAAATTCAACAGAAGATTTTGAGTTTATGACTCCATCCAAAAAAAACTCGCTAAGAGATTGCTTAGCGCCAACCGTAGTCTTAGCGCCAATTGAAAGCCCTTAATAATGGAAGAGAACATGCCTGGATTCCCGAACGTGATCGTGCACCGCATTGCACAGCCTCAATCCTTGCTGATGATTATATGACGCGCCTCATTCGCATACCAATAAGTAACGTATTTGATATTTATATTCATTATTGCTCATCATAGATTAATTGAATTCCTGGGGAAAGATAAAATCCATCAACATTTACCTCAGAGACAGGATCTTCATCGAAATGTGCTTCATTTTCACCTGTGGAGAACATGGTATGAGAGCTTCCATCATCAAGAGTTCATCATTCTTTAGCTGACACTTACCCAGAGTTCTCTTCCCAGCTTCAAGGATATGAGAATGTATTATGCCAATGTCATAACTGCGTATGTATTTGTTTAACTCTCCACTCTTTCAACATCTGATTTATTTGATTAGGGAAATTATTCAGCCAAAGTCATAAAGAGACATCCGTGGTTTACCTTCTGCTTCATTCCAGTTTTGCCATTGAGCTTCCATGCCTACGAAGATGTCGTCTGCTCGATCTGCAATTTCGCGCAACCACTTCAAAATCGACCAGATGTACAATCTCAAATAAATGGAGGAGGTCAAGTGCCATTACAGAATCAGCCGCCGCCCGGTGGCGGTGGTGGCCCTGCGAATCCTGGATGGGGAGGAGGTCCGCCAGGTGGGAAACCACAACAGCCTATGCAGTACGCATAAATTACTTCTTGGGGTTGTTGATCGAGAAAGGGAATGGAAGCTGTAAGACGAGCTTGAGTTGAGGATATACCAAAATTGTATCAACAAATATGGGTCTCAGGATATATCAGGCCGGAAAGAGGGATGATTCGGAGACGGCTTGGGATGGAGTTTCATAGTGGATCATTGGGATGGGTTGATGCTTTTGGCGAAATTCTGATTTTGGGCAAGAATCAAGTTGACCTTTTATTTTTAGGAGGATTATTAATGAATCATTGTTCTCCATATCCTGAAGTTTCAGGTTCTTGTTATCTATATATTATCGTTCGTTTAATTTGCCAAATTCTGGAATGACTTACACAGATGGAAATTGGATTCAGGGATCTTCCCTTGGTTGTCTAAACATTCTCAACATGCATGTATATGGTGCTTGGGACGAGTGAAAGCCAAATATTCAGATGAATACCCACTGGGAAGAGATTGGACAAGCCTGCCAATGCAGGGGAGTGGTATCAAACTATGTATCACTTTGTTGATTGGTTTTCCAGATATCCATTTCCCTACACTTAGAAGAGAGGCTCAGAAGAATTTTCTTTTGATTGGTGCTTGGAGGCAGTGACAAGGCCTCGAACCAATATGCAGATGCAGGTGCTTTTGTTTTCATCCCCCGTGGAGGTCTGCTTCTCCGTGGGGTCAAAATATCGGGGCGTCCCGTATCTGACTGAGCGGAAGGAAGTCTGAATGAATTTGGTTTTCGTGGAGTACTGGGCAGTATTGCGGTATCGGAATGCTTTGAAGAACATCTTACTGTCGATTTATGATCCTACCCCGCTCGATGTCGCCATCTGTTCATAACTTAAACTCTTTTCCCTGTCTTTTGCACTTCTCTACTATTTCAGGGCAGCTCAAGTTTCCTTATCGATGGCTTTTGAGAAATTGGTCCTTATCAATTCTACAGCAGCCAATCAAGGGCCACTGGTGGGCTAATCTTTATCTATCACAACAATCGCTTAACCCCAAATGTCCAAGCTTCCGCTGATGCAGTCAGACAGCAAGGATCTGAGGAACCTAATCCATATGTTTTTATTCGATAAAATTACCATTATTCAACGTTATCTTTCAGATAGACGCCAGATTTGCGCTGTGATAACGACTTTTTCTCATAAACATCTATTATTCACTATATGGTGAGCAACTCATGTAGGTCACAATACCAAGACATCATGTCTGCCAAAAAAAGGTTCGGTCTTCCAGTGAATGGTTAGTATCACAGTTATCAGTACCACAAGAAACCCTCCCTTGTACCAGTACGATACCATATAATATGCAGCTTGTCCCCTCCCGTGTCACATTCGTAGATTCTGATTAGAAGCTCTGTGAGTACAACATTTTGTCCATTGCATTGGGTGGAATATACCCTCTCAACAAGTATGCCAATCGCACCTCCACTCAACTCTGGCTGGGGATATGGAATTGTCCTTGGCCTGGGAGCTCTTTTCGCATTTGGCATGGTAAGTTTTAGATCCTAACTGCTACAATTGGGTCTCAAACTAACTCTTGACTTAACTAGATCCTTGTAACATGGATCCTCAAACGGTATAATCATGAATTGCAAACATCAGAAATGTTTAGCACAGCTGGAAGAACAGTGAAATCAGGCTTGGTTGCATCTGCAGTGGTATCGTCATGGACTTGGGCTGCTACACTGCTGCAAAGCTCCGGTGTTGCATACAAGTATGGTGTTTCCGGACCTTTTTGGTATGCATCTGGAGCCACTGTTCAGATCTTATTGTTTGCGACTATTGCCATTGAGTTGAAGAGAAGAGCACCAAATGCTCACGTAGGTTTGGGCAATCCAGCAGGGATAGAAACATACTGATACAGCGTAGACTTTCCTCGAGATTATCAAAGCTAGATATGGAGTACTTGCTCATATTGTCTTTACCATCTTTGGTTTAATGACAAACATTCTTGTTACTGCAATGCTTTTGCCTTGGCGGTGCAGCTGTGGTGTCCTCTTTGACTGGAATGCCTACAGCGGCGGGTAAGAGAAAACCTTTGGAGATCCAATGACCAACTACTTACATCTCTTAGCATGCTTCCTTTTACCACTAGGTGTCGTCATGTACACCATGTTCGGTGGTATCAAAGCCACTTTCCTCACCGACTGGGTGCATACCTTTATGCTTTTGATTATCATCCTAATCTTCGCCTTCAGCGCCTACGCAACAAGCGACGTACTGGGATCTCCGAAAGCAGTCTTTGATCTTTTAATTAAGGCAGCTGCTGAGCATCCAGTCGAGGGCAATTCCGGTGGTAGCTATCTTACCATGAAATCGTCAGAAGGCGCTATCTTCTTCGTGATCAACATTGTTGGAAATTTCGGAACCGTCTTCTTGGACAATGGTTACTATAACAAGGCCATCGCAGCATCTCCAGTTCACGCCCTTCCGGGATACATCATGGGTGGAGTATCTTGGTTTGCCATCCCATGGCTCTGTGCGACAACCATGGGTCTAGCAGCCATTGCTCTCGAAGGCAATCCCGTCTTTCCCACCTATCCCAATCGCATGGATCCGGCAGATGTCTCAGCAGGTCTCGTACTCCCATATGCCGCCGTTGCTCTCCTCGGAAGCGGCGGTGCCGTCTGCACACTTTTGATCGTCTTCATGGCCGTTACATCGGCATCATCTGCCGAGCTCATCGCCGTTTCTTCCATCTTCACATATGATATCTATCAAACATATTTCAACCCCGGCGCAAGCGGAAAGAGATTGATTTACATGAGTCATGCAATGGTCATCGGATTTGGGTTATTCATGGCTGCTTTCTCAACAGGTTTATACTATGCTGGTATCTCCATGGGCTATCTCTACCTAATGATGGGTGTAATCATCTCCTCGGCCGTGATTCCCGCAACTCTGACAATCATGTGGGCTGGTCACAACAAATGGGCCGCCACACTCACTCCTCCTCTAGGCCTCATCTGCGCCGTCATCGCCTGGCTCGTCACCGCCAAGAAACAATGCGGCACCCTGGATGTCGATTGCACCGGTTCCAACAACCCCATGTTAGCAGGAAACGTCACGGCCCTTCTCTCCCCTCTCATCTTCACACCCTTATTCACCCTAATCTTCGGCTGGGATAAATACGACTGGAAATCAATGGCCGAAATCCGCAGAGGCGACGATCACGATTTAGCAGAGGAAGCCGATGTAGATCTCGAACTAGTACCAGGCGAGACACATGCATCAGCCGCGGAAGAAGCTCTTGAACAAATCAAACTTCTGCGAGCTTCCAAAATCGCAAAGGCTATGACCGTCATTCTTACACTTGCGCTATTGATATTATGGCCCATGCCCATGTACGGCAGCGGCTATGTTTTCTCAGAGAAATTCTTCACCGGATGGGTTGTCGTGGGTATTATCTGGTTGATCGGCAGTACGCTAACCGTAGGTGTCTATCCCGTCTTCGAGGGTCGACATTCGTTGGCGAGAACAGCAAAGGCGATCTATCTCGATATTACAGGAAAACAACATCCAAGTAGACATCATAGACCCGAAGCTACATATGTGGAGGGTGTGAAGGAAGATGGGGTTGAGACGCCACCGACTGAGCGTAGTAGTGAGAAAGATATTGCGAGTAAGAGCGGGGTTACTGCTCAGTAGATTAAGATTCGCTGGTTTAAAAACGGTTTCTTATTTTTTCTTTTTTTGGTGTGGGATGGCAGGGAAGGAATGCTTGATGATTGATACCAGGAACTTTACGGGACATATATATTTTAACCTTTTATGAAAGGGGTGAGCGGGGAAATAAAATGCGAATATACGCATAGCTTGTGAATGCATAACAATACCAGTAGTTCTATGAAGCCAAAATCTTATCTCGGTGACATGAGGCCAGTGTGAAACTATTTTACTCCTTTTATATTTGTATACTCTTGGGAAGCAGTAAACTATAGCTGAAAAACCGCCGTGCTTTCACCAGAGTATATTTATCGGACTGGTCTATAGTAGAAGTGAGAAGGAAATACGGTAGGTACCTAGAAGCAACGTAGGCATACATACAGATCTGGAGATAGGAAAAGGTATCGGAATCATGCGATGTGTGATGCGAATTTCAATGTTTATTAATTATTTAGGAATGGATACTAATAGATGCCATACAGCCACACTTGCGACGTCCATATGCTAGGCACTATGGTCGTGTAGAACTGACTCAACATAGGTATTAGAAGCAATTTATTAGATTCACCTATCATGCTTCATTGTCATTTCACACTACACGGCACTCTTCAAGCACAGATCCCTTGAACTTAGTGAATTTAGTCTATCATACAATATTTAAAAACATGACCAAGTTACCAGTTTTTACTAAGAAATAGAAGCAGGAGACTACTAGGTACTCTAGCAAGTCCAAATGCTCTCATTTCATAGAACGAGATATCCATGCCAGCCTTCGCAAAGAAATCCATGAAAGCCACATGGCTAGAGGAATTCGAGCTCTTTGAACTTTGCTAAACGTAAGATAAAAAGTCGAAATCAAAAGAGATGCCGTAATAAAACCTTTCCAGAACTCCTCCCATGTCCAGCCTCGTTATGACACAAAGTACCTTCCGGAATTAGCCAGCCATATCAACTTCATTATCTACGGCTGCTGCAGCTGTAGCTGAAGGCAGTGCCGCCAATGCTGCGCCGGAAGCTGCACTGATACTGGCGCCAGTAGCCTGCGCCGACGGGAGGACACCCTCATTAACCCATCTCCTGAATTCCTGATTGATCCTGCTCACCTCCTCGTGGCTCTTTTCCTTCATCCATTGATTGTTCATCCCGAATTTCTCATGAAATCTTTGATTCCTTGACTCCTCAACTTTCTTTAATCTCTGTCTAGTCTCACCATCTCCTAAAGCCTTATCAGCATATATGAAGTATTCTACGCCGGGTTCCTTGTAGATGATCTTGTAGCTATTCACACAAATTCTAAGTGTTAAATCTTCGCCCCAAATAAGGGGTTTCCGCTGGTTAGAGCCGTCCTCCGAATCTGTGTCTCCCGATGGCAAATTGCGGGTTAGGAGGCTCTTGCGAAGAAGCCTGCGGGGTACGCCTTCGGTCGGTTCAATGCGGACATAAGAAGATGTATAGTACTGCCAACGCTCCTTTCTCTGCATGATATCTAAATCAAAAGTAGTTTCATCACGATGAACCCACTGTGATGTGGGCTTCACTCTTTTTGGGGTACTAGTATCTTGTTAGTAAATACGTATAAGGAAGAAACGGAAATTTCGTACCCATCTGATCAAGAACAATTCTGAATCCTTGATATATTTATCAGCCTGCTTCCGTAGATTTATCTCAATGTTATACGATGTTTCTTTTGATTCTCTGTTCCGGAGGAATTGATCAATGAGATCCGGTGTCTTCTCCTTAGAATCGGGAGAGGAGCAAATGGAACCAAGGCGACAAAGACTCTTGAGAAGATCGGTAATGGTGTAGATTTTCCATCCAGTCTGCAAATAATAATGCCGGAGATAGTCCTGGTACTTGGTTTCTTCAATCTCGCCTTTGATGAATTTTTCGACATGGTTTAAAACTTTGGAGTAGCAGGTCTCGCCATCTTCAATACTTGTAAAATCATCGTTTCTATCACTTAGCAGACCGATTTGTTTCGCAGGCTTGCCACTCTTTGCACGTTCTATTTCTGCTCTTGCGGAGCTCTCTGCATCTTTGATATCCTTGAATCGTTGATAGAGAGTTTGGAAGATACTGAAGAATACAAACACGGTCTGATTGCAGTATAAATTGTACCAATCACGTTGGAATGGCTGATCCGCTTTCATTTCCAAGTCGTCGGATTCGAGAGGTTTTGTTCCTTGAACAGCAACTGCACCTGGCACGGCAGCCCAACGCTCATTGGTGACTTCAGTAATGGTTCTGTCGTCGGTGACATCCGCGACTTCTTCGTCAATGTTAGAATCAACATCCGGTGTAGATTCTTTGCTGCCGGTAGCGCTATCCTCCTTCTGTGCACGGCCCCTTGTTCCATTTCGACCTCTATCAAGTACCCCTCGTCGTAAGTCTGCTTTCTTCCCATTGACTGGCCGTCTGCCTCGACCATTGGAGAGCTCGGCTGGTGCAATATCTTCGTACTCGTCGTCAGGAGTTCCACGGTCAATGTCAGCGGTATGACGTGCAACAAATTCGTCAGGTAGGTCAAAGAATGTAGATATGAACTTCTCGAAGAAGTCGGAAATTCGTCGACGCTCTGAGCTACTGTGTTGGTTTGCATTACAGGCATAAACGATCATGACGTGTAGAAGTTGACCGATTACCTCCTGATCAGCAAATTGATACGAGTACTGGTATTTTGGTGTGGGACCTCTAGAACTTCTAAGACGACGTTGTTCCTCGTGCTTCGTCTTTATAGAATCTACCAAATGCTTTGCGGCAAAATGCTTCTTGTCGGCTTGCTTGACATGGATGCCCATATGATCGAGACTTTTCAAGTACATGACACTACCTTGTGCACCCCAAACTGGATTCCATTCACGCTGATAATGATATTAGAAATTTTGCATTATTGGTATGGATAATACTTACTCTAGTAAAAGTCCATTCTTCATCCTTCTGCTTGAGCCGTGCTAAGATTACAGGCAATACAGCACAAGGATCCTGGATGAGATCAGAAACAACTTGTGGACCTTTTTCGGTACCGTAGATCTTTTTCAACACACGCTTGTAAATGGCTTGGTTTGGACCAGCAGTATTAGGCATGCGGAAATTCTGTCTCTCGGCTGGATCCATAGCAACGATTTGCTGGGCAATTGGTTCCAGAAGTTGTATTACTTTGGCGTTGCATTCAATGTTGAAGTCATAGTCGTGACGTTCTTCTTCAATGCGGTGTAGGCCTTCCTCGAAAATGTTCTTTCTGTGGGCTACGAAACCCGAATCTTCTGACGCCCAGGTAGGGTGTGAAGCCCAGTCGTCATTGAGCACAGCATGGCACATCTCATCCCGACCACTGCAAGGCTTCAATCGTTCCTGTTAATGGAATATTAGCAAACAATCCTCATTTACTAAACAAAATTCATGATCTATGAAACGATAATTGAATGTGCTGAAGTTAAAAGTATGGAGGTAGTGGAGGACTTGCTCTTTTCGGTAACAACCGATAACTCGGTCCTAAGCCTCGACAATTACTCAATGCAACTCTTCCCGTCGGAGCCTTTGGCCGATTGTCTATAACCTCGTCGACTCCTTCATAGCCAACAAAAGCTTTGAACCAGTTCATCAGATCTGCACTTCCACCGATAAAATTGCTAACTTTGAAAACTAGAACATTTCGATCTATGAGGTCTTGGGAGAAAAGGTTGCAGAGCTTCAGAAACTCGTTCATGGTGGACTTGTTGCCGATATATTTCTTTACACGATCAAAGAAGGCTAATTCTTCAGAACTAGCGGCGGACATAGACGCAGGAGGAAGTGGTTCGGGTACAATGGGCGTCAGAGTTGGAGATACCGCGGCAGCGTCGGCAGCAAGTGGCTTATTGTTATGGTGGGTTTTCGGTCGCTACAGAAATCAAAATATTAAAAACATATCTTGCAAAACATGGATTCGGGAGGAACATCTCAAGGTTCATCTTACCTTATTAGGTTGTGTGCCGGCGCCACGAACAGAGCTTTCTCCACCATTGTTCATCTGCGAACCAGATCCTTGAGTGAGAGGTTTGCGCTTCTTTTCTGTCTTGCCAGTCGTAGGTGTAGGGATTGGGAAATTTCCCATGATTGGTAATTTGGTATCTCCCGAAGGACCTCTGTTTCCAAGCTGGGCACTTTGAGAAGCATCTGGCATAGCAGTTGCTTCTTCCGCCGCCTTCGCAACAGCTTTTGCGTGCGCAGCTGATTCAGGAAGAAATTGTTTGAAGTCTTCCAGGAGATCGGGTGCAGTACCAAACAAAGTGGTTACTTGACCATAAACGTCTTGAATGGGTTTAGATTCGCGTTGATATGTTTGGAGGATTTCGAGAAATTGTTTGTATATTTCGGGTTTATCTTGGAAACGATTCTGAAGCAATGGTGAGTATGTTTTCAAAGGTGATCGGCAGAAAAATCCTAATCATACCTTGATTTTGTTGACGTAACTTATTGCATGATTAAACTCAACCGGACCGCGCTTTTCCATGCCCGGCTGCGCACCAGAACCATTCAAATTACCAGAGCTACCGCCAGGTGTTGGCGTCTGGGTGTTTCTTGGTGGTTGACCCAAGGTCGCACTGACAGCGTTCGTTAATTGAGAGACACCTCGTTGTTGTTGTTGATGAGCTGCGGCGGCGGCGGCTGCTGCTGCTTGTGCTTCATATGATCCAATTTGTGTTTGATTATGACCATAAGGGATCGCGGCACTCTGATGAGGCGGGCTGAAGACTGCTTCTGGACTTTCGATACTATGCTGGGGTTGCTGCCAAGTCGTTGATGGACGTTGAGGATTGTAAAATCCGTTTGCGCCGCTGCCGTGGCTAACTACAGTCTCACCAAGTGCACGACCGGCTCCTGGAATTGATTGAACGGTTGTTCCCATGGGAGTTGTGACTCTAATTGTGTTTGGATTATTGTCGGCACCGCACTCGATTCTGTATCCAGGTGGTAGAAATGTGTTGAAACCTTGAATTAAATTTGGATGCCCTGCAAAAAGTTCGGATACTCGATTAATAACACCGGGAGTATCAATACTAAAAGTGAATTACCAAAGTTAGTATGCCGAACGCGGTATGTCCAACTTGCTACCGTAGCTTGAAAAAGGAAATAACTTACGCTTGACTTTTGAAGTCTTTCATGATATCAAGAAATCGGTTATAAACGTCGGGTTGATCTGCGAACTGGACTTTGACCTGGTCGAGGTAGCTAAGAGCATCCTAAAAAGCATTAGTTATGTATAAACTCTCAAGGTACAGCTGAAACACGTTCATAATAAACGAACAGAATAATGTTGAAAACATACATTTAGAATCGGCTGTTGACCACCTTGTGTTAAACCAGCAGGACCAGGCATTTGGTGACCGGGAGTCACAGGTCCTCCTCCAAAGGGCATCAGTCTTGCGGCTGCTACCTCCTGCTGTGTCGTCTCTCGTGACACTATCTGAGGCCTGCCGAATCCAACGTCTGCGACACCTGGAACACCAAGTGGCGCATTTGACTGAGGAGCACCTGAGCCGCGGCTAAAGATGGGTTCCGAGCTGAAGATGTGTTGCTGCTGAGGCTGTTGAGCGGCGTTTTGGGCATGGTGTTGCAGATTGCGTGCTGCATCATTGTGAAGCGGGCCCCCGAAGGCATTGCCAGGTCCACTTGGAGCTCCTAGTGGAGTGCCATGAGTAGCAAGAATTCCTCCTGGACTATGCATAGCGGTAGTTGTCCGATTTGCTACGGGTTGGTGCAATGGAATACTGCCGGCATTGCTTTGATGCGGAGGTGCTGGCTGGTATTGTTGCTCTCTATGTTGCCGATCTCTTTCTTGTCTCTCAAGGTCGCGCTCGCGCTGCGTCGTCATATCTTCCTGCTTATGCTGTAAAGCACGTTGTCGTAGTTGTTCTTCCATATCTCGATCTCGGTCGAAATTTGGAGGACCGTTGTGTGGCTGATTATTCATGACGTTTTTTGTTGGCTGATCAGATTCTCGATTAATTTGACCGATAAGCTGTGTTTGTGGAGTGAATGTTAGCTCTTGCATATGACGGGTTTTAACATACAATATCACCAGCTCAAACTTTGATCATGGATGTGGTATTTAATCTCGTCCCAGAGAGGAAGTAGGTAGGAGGTACTAACGAGGTTTCCAAATCGACGCGCAAGGCTTTATGCTCCGGCGCAATGGAGTAGACACTGTTAATGTGGTTCCATAGAAGTGAATTCGATTTGCAGTGTGAGTTAGAGATACCACTTAATTTGCAGCAACTCAATCTCTTTCTAAATTCGTAAATCAAGGCGATAGGAAGAGAAACGTCGGTATTGAGTCGGGAAGAATTTCCAAATGATCGCAATGATGATTTCCATTAGCGTGCCGGCGAATACCGCCATACTATTTATGGCTTAAAGTTGCAAGGCTGAACACAAGCTAGGGAGACGAGGCTACCAATGGCAATGTATCCTACTAGATAGACCGAATTTTAGCACATCGCCGGGATATTGTCTGAGCGCCGCGTCTAGTTATGATAGTTATGAGATATTTGCTTATAAAATTCATATTTCTTTTTTTTCCTCATCAACGATTCAAATATGTAAATGAAATCATTATCATTATGTTAAGCTGTATAAAATTATCAAGCAGAAGCTAAGATCTTCCTCACCGTCACAGCGCGCAACAGCAAGGGTAAAGCATCTGACTTATGTATACCCAGCCAAATCCACTAGCTATTCAAAAGCCAAATTCCGAGTAACGCCAACTTATGCAATGAAAGTGTAAGTAGTTCCTATGCATAATTTCTCACGCCCTTCAATATCCAGACTTGTCCATTATAAACATCACCTGCCATGCTAGAGACCTCGATATTCCCAGGTTGCAACTACAAAAGAGATCAGCAAGTATGGACAGCATATATTATGCTTAACTCACTTGTTTGACACCATCCTTATTCTCCCACCAAACTTCGTCTCCATGTAGAGTCTTAACTTTCTCTCCTTCCTTCCATGGACTCGCAGGAACGATATGAGCCTCCACAAATCTTCGCAGATTCCTATGGGCTCTCTCTTCTCCGTCTTCGCCCTCGTACGCATTCGCCCCAAGTTTGTCATAGTCTTCCGGATCTTCCCATGGTTTTCGAGGCAAACCCATTATCGCGGAATTGACGGGAGCAAGAATGGTGGTATTTTGATCATTATTTGCGATTCGCTGGCTTATGGGTGCTATATCCCTTGTGAAGCCTGCAAAGATATTGATACTTCGGTCTTTCCCAATAATGTCTGATAGAATGATTGTATCACCCCCACCAATAGGATCGGAAGACGATTCGGATTTAGGAGGCATCGCGAGGCCAAGATTGTTGTTTAGCAGAGGTCTTTCAATATCTTTACCCAGAATAGTAGTAGCGAAGATTGCCGTCAAAAGAAATGGTATCGAGTATGTATATTTCATCTTCATAATATTGATTGATGATTTTGCAATGATTCCCAAAATCTTGATATCTTGATAGAGAAATGCGGGATGACGAACTAACAGAGATTGTCTCCGCACGCTACATCTGTGGGGCCCACCTTGGCAGAGGCGGCCGAAGCGGCCGACAGCCTAGCGTGACCAATAGGTATCTAGGCAACCTTACGTGAGCCATTCAAAAATAATAGATTGTGTGTACAGAACTTATAAGATGAGAATGTACCTAGTACTTCTTAGAGAAGCATACTACTTTTGAAAGCAATTCAAAAGATTTTTGCTTTAGGATAAAATAGTATAATTGATAAAGCTTCTCGAATATGGGTTTTCATATTCTTTATGCCAACACAGAAAGTTATTTCTAATACTCGGAAAGTCTCTCATAAAACCATGAATATTATCAAAGGGGCTAAAAAAAGCAAAGAGTTTGGCATATAGTCAAAAAGGATCTGATTTCTTACAACAAACGTGGGCGTTCTATAAGTCTTGCAAAGTGCATCTTTTCCGTTTCGTGTGACCTCTCGAACCCCATTGAACAAATGAACGGAGCCACATTCTTCCAACGAATACCCATTCTATCTACTTTCCTGTAGACGTCTCGGTAGCAGACTCGGCCAGACTGTTAGGAAATTTCTGATTAGTGAGAAGGTCAAGGAAAAGAACATCGACTTTGAAAGCACCCTCAAATCAAAGCGCTAAATTCCGCCGCAGTCATGCTGTCCATACCGAACTGCGCTAGAGGTTCGGTAATATCAATCTAGTCCACTAGCATGAGAATTATACTGGAGAAAAGTTTGCGCATAGCTCTCAAGATGGCTTTCTATGAGCGAAGGAGCGTCCGCTCCCGAAAATAAAGTCTTGACTGCAGTTGCAGATATCTCTTTCAGCCACGAAGGGGCATTTGCTGCACCTGCATGGAAAACACCACCTGCATCACCGGATTCATCGTTGCCCAGCAATGCTGCTGATAAAATTGCAGAGCGGGGATCTTACACGTTTCCAATCGTCGTGATATCAAAACCTTGATCCATGAGTTTACGAAGTCCAAGCGGTTCTCAGTCCGGTCAGAATGTGTGCACCGTTCACATTTGATGCTTGCACCCTAGTAGCCTCAACTTCACCACCTGATCCGCTGAGGGAGAGATTGATTACCTACAAGAATTCCTCTTCGTTCGCGGGCTGGATACCTTTTCTCAGTAGAAGAGCCTCTATCTCCGGGTTTTCATGAAGATAACCGACTTCAGAAATTATGCCGAGACCAACCGAAACAGTCGTTTTCTTTTGATTGAGGCGCCATCTTGCAAAGGCTTCGAGAAATTCATTCGCTGACAGTAATTGCTCTCAGTTGCGGCCGCGACACTACCGGAAACCAAAGATGTCAAAAGAAAAAAGCCGAGTCCTCTTCATTTCCCTCGAGCAAATTGTGCAAATTCCATATTCCTTTCCATTTGGGCTGGATCTCCGTTTGCCAGCCTTCATGGCTCATGCCGGTGAGTAAGACTTCTTGGGTACCCAGAGCCGCTTGTATGAGGCATCACGAGAGTTGACGATGTTCGCTGCTAGTAAACCTACTTCTTTGATGAGGTAGTCTCGTTTCAATCGAGAACTAGTAGTGGTGTGGAAATTTGCTCCTTTTCGCATGGCCAAAGTGATAGCAGCAATATTGGCTGCACCGGCACCTGAATGAATGAGAACGGACTCCCCATCTCCTCAATTTCCTCGATCAAGCATCCCATAAATAGCCGTAGAATAAGTTATAGGAATTGTGTAAAGAACACTATCCTCTTCTCGTACCGTTCAGATTGTATGCTACCACTGTTTTCTACATCTCTCAACTTACCGGTGTAGAGAGATAGACAAACATCTTTCATGTCGCTACGGATCGTGGCTTCGTCGCATCCCACACCCAGAGATTTGATTCGACAGTTCGGAGATGAAGACTGGGAGAAAGACCTCGAGAGTGCTTAGCTATAGGTTGCCGCCTGTGCTACCTGTAATTCCGGATCGCCTAAACAAGAAAACCTGGAGATAGTCTTGCCACATCAGAGGGAGAGAGAAGCAAAATCGATGAGAAGTCTCAGGATTTTCAATAACTGAAATTGCGACCCAAAGCAAGGTCCACTTCCGGCAAACTTTTTGTACCAACGGGACAACGACCATTTTTCGAAATTCTCTGTGTTCTGAACTTCGATTGTGCCTTTCACAGGCAACGGAACTCCATTACGAATACTTCCCGAAGAATGAAGTGTACTTTGGCCTGATCTCCAGGACGATGTCGAGAAGCCGCATTAGTCAGTTGACTTGCTTGTGCTAGATATTTTTCGCCATGGGAAGGCTGTGTGTAGCTCAAAATCTTGAACCCCTATGTCTTTTCCGTCTTGGATCACAAGAGCGGCGCTGATGCTCGCATTTCGGAATTCAAAAAAAGTGCTAGATCTAATAGAGTTCCTTGATACTGTGATTTTGAGACCTCTAACTTGAGCGACGGCTTCCATTGCCATTGCGAGATAGCCAGTAGCTGGGAAAGCAAATCTGAGACTCAACCTTATGATCCAACAACCAAGGAGTTTCATTACTCGTAGAACATTTCACCAACTCCACTCTATTGCGCTACCAGCGATAACGTGTTATCCTAGAAGCTCATGATGTACATGTTGTCGGGTTTTTAGCTCGACAGAAGGCCAGGATTCTGCCCAGAGGAGACCAGCTGAATAGTCTCAACTTCTGATTTAGTCCTATAATGCGTCACTATGCGAGTCCTTATGTCCGCATTGTTGGTGACGCTGACTGCTTTGTCGACCCTTTTTCTCACCAGGCGTTCAACCCGCGCGCAATGCCGGTCCCTCAGCGACGACCACCATCTGCGCTTGTGTCAAGGGCCAAGCCTCGGAGCTGGCAGCAGCCACTGACATTAAAAGAAGGTGGCTCAGCTTACACACGTTTCTTAGACGTGTTTTCCAGCGTCCTCGAACAGAATCTCGAGGGAGAAGAGCCTGCCATTGCAGATTATGACAGGTATACATTGAACTGGCTTTCCAGCCTTTCCATCCGGGTGAGTCCATTGTTAGCCTCCATGGCCTTATATTACCCCGCTTCCACAATATCTTTAGAGACTCGAGACATTCCTGACTTTGATGCTTTGGACCGTATTCTCCTCCTGTCAACAAACTCTTCTCAACTGAAAAAAATACAAAGATCAATTTATATACGGGACATAAATTGAAGAAGAAAAAAACTACGTTGGCTTTCCACACACTGAAAACTATGCGAGGAATTTTGGTTGTTTGATTCCTAAGTTTCATCTACGGAACGCTCTTCTCGAGACCTAAGACACCTTTCGGTGGTTCCTCAACTGACTCTCCATCATTCAACGACACCGCGGTACGAAAATTGCCTCTTTAATTCGATGTACTGTAATACTATAATCTCTGTGATACGTCTTCCCTAGTATCACGATAGATATTTGAATGTTTGGAGCCGGAGGGTCACATGATCTTACCGGCATATCCTCGGTAAGCATGTTGGTTGAGTTCTCCACGTGACTCATCACGATCCCTTTCTGATTATTCGAGAGCAGAGACAACTTTGACGCTATTCCCACATGTTATGTTTGGATTGAAGGCGTAATTTTGATAGGCTTATTTGAATGTAATGGAATAGATTTCGAAGTTTATATGGACATTCAAATGTCTCAAGGACTAGGGAATTTAAGTGCTTGTGAGATGGGACTATTTCGAGTTGCCACAAGTTTGAATGAAATGTCTAAAGAGTACCTAGTATTGATCCGTCCAAATGATCATGTATCATGTTGAAGTATTTGCAATCTGCCCGTACAGAGGTAGAGATATCTCCATTCGTTTCATCGGTCCTGGTAGAAAGGAAAGAACATGATGATTGCGTACTTCACTTGTGGAAATATCTGTTCACCGGTGGTTCTGTTCCATAACCTAATTGCCAACTACTTCGGACTTTGAGTACCGTACCTCACAGTAAAAAGGACCTAGATCCTTTCACATGTTATCCGCATTACCGATCTTCAAGTCCTTAGCATCATCGTACATGCCCCTGAAAAGTAATAAAAATGACCTGAGATCGAATCATCTGACGCATATTTTACTGCATACTACATACACCTGGCCAGAATTTGAAAACCTGGAGTACTTACTAGCTAAACTTAACATTCATTTTGTGGGGCTTAGCTCCTACCGTCTTTCACATGCTTGATTTCCGTCTTCTTTTTTCTTTGTAACAACTAACGATTGCCATGCTGACTCGTGATATTGCTGTAAGCCAAGTTCAATTATATGGTAGTGTAGTTTTGCGATAACTCTTGAGAATGAATTCTTGGTATTTTGCTACCTGCTAGATACATCTAAAATCCCTATTGCTGTTGACATCGACTTCAGATTCCATCGCATGCCAAGTTTAACCCCATCCCCCAATACTGCTTGCGGGAATTTTTAATTATTTTTATCTCAATACCTCCGTAATATTTCCCCAGTTCTCTCTGCTGACATAAACAACTTGGTGAATTTGAGCGAATCAGAATCAGACTTTTCTTGCTTAGCAGCTTAGCTCTTCAAACTAAAACATTTAGATCCGCAGTGCCTCGGCACCCATTCCAGCGGAGAAACGAGCGCACTACTACTTCTAAACACAAAAGCCCCAACAACTCATTCTTTGAATTTCTTTCCATTATTTATCTCCTAAACTTCATTTTTTAAAGACTGTTGATACACTCCCATCATCTTCTTCTCTTACAATTTTAATCAATATGGCACCTAGAGTAATTGTCGTCGGAGGTGGTTGTACGTTTGATTACCTCTGTCCTCTAAATGTGCATTGAAGCTAATCTTGACTTCAGTATCCGGTTTGAGTGCTGCGCATACCATTTATCTGGCTGGTGGCAACGTTGTTGTTCTAGATAAGCAAGGTATGTTGAACTTGCGATGATGTTTGAACCCGGCATTACCTCTGACCAAATATCGGTCTGAATTGTTCCCAGACGTCTCCCGCCACCCATCCGTGCCTTGGATAATTATCAAACGTGTGCTAACTGGTTGTTATAGCCTTCTTCGGTGGAAACTCGACAAGTAAGTAGAAGAGTCATTCACTCTCACATGGACGATTGACTAATGTATCAACAGAGGCTACATCTGGTATCAATGGAGCACTTACCCGAACTCAAGTCGACCAAAAGATTCAAGACAGCGTAAAGCAGTTCTACGATGACACACTGAAATCGGCAAGAGATAAGGCGCGACCAGATTTAATCAAAGTCTTGACATATAAGTCTGCCGCTGCTGTAGAGTGGCTTCAAGATGTCTTCGGGTTGGATTTGACTCTCGTATCACGACTAGGGTAAGTAAAGATCATCAATGAACTGCGTATGCATTTACTAATAGAATCAGTGGCCACTCACAACCAAGAACCCACCGCGGACACGATGCGAAGTTCCCCGGTATGGCTATAACATACGCTTTGATGCAAAGGTTAGAGGAACTCGCCGAAGCCGAACCCGAACGTGTACAAATCATCAAGAAGGCACGAGTTACCGGGCTCAAGAAGGAAGGAAACAAGATCACCGGTGTTAATTATGAATTTGGAGGTGAACCTTCTTTTGTCGAGGGACCAGTCGTATTGGCCACTGGTGGATATGCGGCCGATTTCACAGAAACATCTTTACTCAAGAAACACAGACCTGATACCTATGACTTGGCATCCACCAACGGTGTACACGCCACTGGTGATGGTCAGAAGATGGTCATGGCTATCGGCGGTAACGGGATTGATATGGACAAAGTTCAGGTACATCCAACCGGTCTCGTTGACCCTAAGGATCCTGGATCCAAGTGGAAATTCTTGGCTGCTGAGGCTCTCCGTGGAGAGGGAGGTCTTCTTTTGAATGGCGATGGTGATCGTTTCTGTGATGAACTTGGCCACAGAGATTATGTCTCTGGTGAGATGTGGAAAGAAAAGGACAAGGGAAAATTCCCAGTTCGTCTCATCCTCAACTCTAAAGCATCAAATGTTCTCGACTTTCACACACGTCATTACTCCGGTCGTGGCCTGATGAAGAAGATGACTGGTAAGGAACTCGCAAAAGAGATTGGTTGCACACCAGATCATCTTCAAGGAACCTTCAAGAAATACAACAAAATTGCCGAAGGCAAAGAGAAGGATCCATATGGAAAGAAGTTTTTCCATAACGGACCTCTTGATATCGACGATGACTTCCATGTTGCTGTTATGGAGCCAGTTCTTCATTTCACAATGGGTGGTATTGAGATTAATGCCGATGCACAAATTCTCAACCAAGAAGGCAAACCATTTGAAGGTCTCTATGCCTGTGGTGAGCTAGCAGGAGGTGTTCACGGTGCCAACCGTCTTGGTGGATCATCCTTACTTGGATGTGTTGTCTACGGACGTGTTGCAGGTGACTCTGCCAGCAACTATCTCTTCCAGAATGCTCTCAAGGGTAACCTTAGCTCTGCATCGCGTCTTGGCCAAATTTCCCTTCACATTGATCCATCACAACCTGGCAAGATCTCTGTAGAATGGGATAGCCAATCTTCTAGCAGTGGCGATAAAGTAGCCCAACAATCCCAAACATCAGCTGGTCCTGTTATGAAGAATGGAGCCGATTCATCTGACCCAGGGAAAGTTAGCAAGCCTACCAAACCATCCGAATTCAAAATTCCCGAAAAGGAATTCACAATGGATGAGGTAGCAAAACATAACAAGAAGGAAGATTTATGGGTTGTGGTTAAGGGTGTTGTTATGGATGTATCTGATTGGTTGGATGAACATCCAGGTGGTCCACAAGCACTCATGAACTTCATGGGTAGAGATGCTACTGAGGAATTTGAAATGTTGCATGATGATGAGGTTATTCCTAAATATGCTGCTAGTCAGGTTATTGGAAGGGTTAAGGGTGTAAAGCCTACTTTGGAAATATGAGTTAGAGTATGAGATTGGATCATGGTAAATGGTGAATGGAGATAATGAATGAGAATTCGGTTTGTTTTATCTTGATGGCGTCGATAGGATGGGATAGGATGGATTTATAATACTTGCTCGAATCAGAAATTTGTACTGTATTGATAAGAAGATGAGATAAGACAAGATGATCTTTTTCATTTTGATGTGGCAATTTATAAGTTTATATACATTTTGAGTTTTGATATTCCTGTTCCTGTCTATAATCGTTCATCCTTACCTGGATCAATTATTCATGATTTATAATTTTCAACTTTTTCAAATCTTTCTTTTTGATTTTGATTTCGAATCCGTATAATCAATAAAATGATTTAAACACTTAATACCTACCTAGCTACCTATCTATCTACAGGTAGATATTTAGATTCTAGAAATGAATTAGGGTATCTAGGGAGGGTTGTTGATTGATTGATTGATTGATTGATTGATGAGTTAGTTGGAAGTTAGAAGAGATATTATGTTTTGGTAGGTAGATAGGTAGGTAGGTATGGTTGGTATGGTGATGTATAAGGTGTTTGGTGTGGGGTGTGAGATGTAAGATTAATTTATTATTGGGGGATTGAGGATTTGGGGACTTGGGTGATTGTAATTTATGATTTATTTTTGATGGGTAAAGATGTAAGGTATGCTGAGTAGGTAGTAGGTAGTAGGTAGTAGAGAGTAGAGAGTAGAGAGTAGAGAGTAGAGAGTAGAGAGTGTGAAGAATTAGTTGTGAGGGGTGAAGAGTGAGAAATGAGGTGTGAGGTGTAAGGTGTAAGGATTGATGGTGAGGATTAGATTATTAATTGTTTTTAATTGGTTCTGTGTATGTATATGTATATGTATATGCATATACTTTACACATTATCGATTAGTAAGTTAATGTGCCTTGGGAGATAGAGGGGAGATAGAGTGGTGAGGATGTGAGGCATTATACTTGGTTTGGGATAAGTTGGGTTGAAAATGAATTAGAAACGGTTTGGGGATGGATTGAGGGGTAGTTTGGATGGGTATATACATATTCTTATGGATATACTAGGTATATACAGAGTTGGAACTATAATTTGAGCTAATGTTGGATACAACAGCAGTTGAGGATTTGTGAAAGTGGAAGGGGAGTTTTTACATCATCTAGAGATCCTAACTATATTCCGAGTATATCTGTCTGTACAGAAAAAATAAAGAGAGAGAGATCCGAAATGGTAGCCAGTTTGAAAGAACAAAATAAGAAGACAATACATAACACCGAGCCGGGTTCTCTATACAATAGCTGGAACGGAATCAAAAAAACCCCATATCCATACCTCATCTAATATCAGCCTGCATATCTTGCATGCGCGCGACAGCTCGGACAAAAAACTCAATAATACCTAGTAGATATTCTTCTACTACCTATCATGTGGTCATCTGCAAGCGAAACAAGTTTGGTAATAAGATATTCAGGTTTGGAGGTTGTGTTGGTGTTGGCTGTTGGTTGTTGGGAGGGGTGATTAGGGACCCAGATGGATGGATTTGAGTGGGATTGGATGGATGGAGATACTTGGGGAGGTTGATGGGGTGTTTGGATGTAGATAGGATGATGGAAATGATGGAATGGGGGATTTTTTGGAGTTTGGTTTGAGGGGGAGATGGTTTTGGTTTGGTTTGGTTGGTGTGTTGTGGAGGAAATTCCGAGGAATTGAATGTGGAGAGGAGATGTTGGGATGGATTGGATGGATTGGAGGTGTGAGGTTTTTTCAGGGTGGTGAGGTGTGGTGAGGGGGTTTGAAGGTGGAGAGGTGAAGGTGAACTCATTGGGTTTGAATATGGCGGTTTGAGGGAGGTGAGGTAAACTCGCTGGGTTGGGTAATAGGTTCATACTATTCCATCTTATGAAGAATTTGGATGGGTATGCAGTGTAACGAGATGGAGATTGTAAGATGGAGATGAAGAGTGTCAGGCTTACCAATATGTATCTATCTTTCCATATCCTCATATCAAAGGCCACCCACCATAGCCTTCTAAAGAACGCTGAAATAAAAATAAGAACATAGCCTTGTTGGAGTGAATATGCAAGAACCTCCAAGCAAAATCACAAATAATAAGTGTTTCCATCATCACCGTTACACAACAGCATAAACCCATCCATTCTAACCATTCAATAACATCGAGATATCAATGCCAAGGTCCAAGCTAAAGGAAAGCAATAGAAAGAATCGGCAACTTTTGCCTACCTACCTACCTACCTACCTACCTTGAGCTTTATGTGTAACGCGTAAAAGAGTAGAAATCCGTCTTACTACATTACTCCGTACATGATGCTTTGGTTTGATAATGATTCATGGATAATCTGGTGTGTCAAGGTATTTTGGGCTGAGCTGATAAATATGTCACTGTTGTGTACAGGATGGAGGTGTATCATTGTGTTTCTGTTCCATTCATCTTAGATTGAGGCTCTGAATATGATATGATATGATGATGGTGGGGAAAATGAGTGAGGGGGAGTTGGTTGAGATGACTTGAGCCGCATGAACGAAGCTGATAAAAGATTTCGATAGAATTCCAAGGAGATGTCTGCGGCCTTGTATTTGTTCAAAACTCAATGTTGAAAAGATTATTGTAAGCACTTTATTTTCCTTCCCACTACTCATAGTATTTCTTACATTCAAAGCAAACATGGAACATCAATCGCATCGGATCCGGATACCAATAAAAGGTAAAAATCGGTGAAAGAAGAATGAGAATAATCCGGGGGGCCATAGACAAGTCTAGAAAGCCAGCCCCGAATATATTGGCTCATTGTAACTGTCGTGACCGGAAGATGAACACAGAACATAACATGGATTTCGTATTTAGATTTGGGGGAGAAGTAAGATATGGGGTATGTGTAAGTATCGGATTTCGGACAAATCTCTCCTCCTATTTTATGTAATGTAGTCTCATAATGTACGGAATATAATGTACGATCCAGTACGTACATTATGAGGGGAAATGAACAAGCTTTTGCAAAAAGGTGATGAGGAACGGGCCCATTAGAATTGGAATTTAGTCAAGTCATAAATGAAACAGTTTGAATTCAACTAAAAGCCATTAAAAGCCACATGCAGTCAAACCAATCAGTTGAATAAAATGGATTTGGAATACCACTAGAACACTAGAAGATATCGAATAATGTAACTGTAGCCTTCACATATGTTGTACTAATCCTGGATTGACTTGGGGAGTGGGCAAAGTGCATGATTCTAGATTCATTCATTGGTTTATTTGTTGCTTTACTCGGTTTACTTTGAATGATCGCTGTGAACCTTGCGACTGACCTTTTCTGTTCAAGTGTGAATAATAATGGCTCATTCTTTTTAGTGAGTATCCATGTATTTTATTGATCAGAGTGTACAGAGTAAGCAAAGCAAACATTATCTAGGTAACGAACATTGAGTTTATCACAGAGTAGATATCTTCTAGGTAACCTAAGATGGTTATTGTACTCTGTGAAAGTATACCAGTTCAATCCCTCTTAAGCCTATATATAACCTTACAATATGTAAAATCCAATCAACAAAACCTAATAGTCCCAAGTATCAACACTATCATCATTATTGTTTCCTACTTCTCTCCCATCTCTCTTACCAGGATTACCTACCGCTGACTACCTACTTCACTAGGTATATTGACCCTTCACTTCCCTTTCTACTATACTTTTACCCCAACTTCCACATACAACCATACAACTTCTACGCCACATGAATGCATATCTAGATTTTTCATTTCCCCTCAAACTCAAATCCCCATTTGATGAATATAACATCATTCTTTTTCCATCTTTTATTTTTTTCCCTCTTAAATTATTTGAAGCCTCTATTGTGACAGGTGAAAAAAAGTGTAACCGATTTCTTCTTGGTCTAGGGTGGCACACACCCATAATAAACTCTTTTGCACCACCAGTGACTGACTGACTGACTTACCCTTACCACCACTTCATTCAGCTTTCCGTTCTCTCACAAAAAAAGCTCAACGCCCTATTCGTTCCGTTAAAGCCTGCCTGGGGTTACACTCATTCCCCCCCCCGTTACCACCCCCCCCCCCGTCGACTTCCCCAAAATCCCAGTCTTGTCTGTCATTCGATTCCTTCCACCACCTCCAAAAAGACAATTCCTTTCCCCACACCCTAAATTTCTAGGTCGAACATACCTCACTCACTCATTCATTCATTCATTGTCAGCAGTCCTCTCCCAATATTGTGCGACCGGGTCATTTCCCACCCCCTCTATCTCGTGCGCGCTGTCTTTCAATCACCATCCATCGATCCTTTTAAACACGTGCTGAATTGTACTGGAAACAAGGGAATGCTTTTCAGAGCTTGCATCGGCCTAAGATTATTCATCGTCCAATGGGCGTGCCAATTTCCCTATTCGAAAATCCGGTGATCATCCACGACTTACATCGGATCCATCCTCATATACTCCGACGTTCATTGATTTACTACGCCGACCTGACGACCACTTCTAATTTACCATGGCCATAGCCCTGGGCTGGCACAAAACCCGATAATGTCGCCCGGCTCTTCTGCGCCGCGCTATAATGATAGGGATTATTCGTCCGCGACAAGAGGACTCTTATTC